CCTGCTGGTTAATTTGTACTCTTTGTCTATCCATGTTGCTAAGCTTGGTTCACAGTCAAACAAATCTGGCTTGTACGGCCAGTATGGCTATGGCCAGTATGTCTGGCAGTATGGGCTATGCTGGTAATTTCCTAAGTGCTTAATTCCACATGAGTGCAAAATGAGTGGGAGACTGTCTGACAGGAAAAAATTACAGATCTGACTCTGATCTGATGTTGGTGTATTCTGACTGACTTCAGCGGTGCTCCATACAGAAGAGATTCAGGCGCATTTCTCTTTTCAACACCATGAATAAAATAAATTAATTTGCCTGAAGAACGAGTAGGAAATAAACGGATGCTATTAACCTCTGTTGGGGAATATGCACCCTGCCACAGATCCTGTCTAACGTCCTGAATCACTTAAACAAATGCTTACCAGCTAGAATTCACAGTACTTTACCACTGGCACTGCTAGGGTTACTAAGTTCTAGGAAGACAGAAACGGTGGTGGAAAAGGACTTGCCTTTCCCTTGTCTTTGCTCAGACTGAATGGATGTGCATTAGATTAAAAAGCCTGGCTCCATTACTGGTGATGCTTCATCCACAAAAAATCATTTTTCAGTTACATAAGTTTATGGAAGTGACCCTTGCATTTGTCATGTGACAACCGGGCCTGAGATTTCAGAGGACAAGAACTCCATTGTGCGTTTTGCTGGGTTAGCAGAGGAGTTGATTGGTCATTTACAGCTAGCCTGGAATAATTCTTAACTATCAGGACCAAAGCAGCCTACGTGACACATTTCACATTGGCTTCTCTTTTGTGTTGGGATTTGCTAGTTTTTATAAACTTTTATAGAAGGCCTTAAATGGACCTGGCCTTGGTTCTGCTTCAGACCTTTTTCTTAAGCACCCACTGTTCTGGGTCATGGAACTTGTGTGCCACCCAGTGCTACAGGAGCCTTCTCTTATGCCGTAACTTGTTAGTGTAGTAAGTTTGCTGCAACATCCCAGTAAAGTGACACTTCACTTTCTCAGGAAGCTGGTCACTTCATCCACTTCACCTGGCTTAAATTAATACACAAACAACACCCAGCTTGAGAAATTTATTTTTTTTCAGCTCTTTTGAAATTAATTCTTGTGCTGTTCTGTTGATTTGTTTTTGACCATCCATTGTAAAATAACCATTACAATGATTTAGCTATAAATCTGTTTAATTGGGGTGTGGTTTTAGTTAATGACAAATTGTTTTACGATTGTTGTTTAGCATCCCTACTGCATCTGCAAGGAAGAAAATTATCATCATTAACATTATTATTCAATAAATAACTGTTCTGTAAAAACAGACAAACAGTCCCATTACAGGACATTAGCTCAGGTGTTTTTTAGCAGTAGGAGCCACTTCTTAAACTCTGGATCTGAAGGCTCCTGCAGCATCGCATATAGCTGAGGAAACGCATATTTTGTTTATTGCAACCCCTCATGATAATAATGGAAGAACACTGCTTTATTATAGAAGCCCACACTGGTCTATATTCTGTTCACTTCACTCTACTGTTAACACTGATTGATCTGCTGTTCACTTGAAGTTATTTTTCCTCCTTTATGTATCCATTTCTCTGTTCCTCCAAAATATTTATCAGACTTTTGGAAGCCAACCATACCAAGTATTCCAGACAGGCGTTATTATAGAGGAGCCTAATTACAATGTTTATGAAAATCAAGGGACAGCACTGCAGCAAAAAACCCTTCACTAAATTTCATTACTTTTCCAGGGTGCTTTTCTTTCCAGATGTTATGCTTACAAGAATCACTTTCATGTACAGATAGTTTTCTGGTGAAAAAAGTTAACAACACACTAATAGGAAAGGAGCACTTCCTTTAGGCACTAAATAAAGTGCCTTTTTATAGGAAAAATATTTTCCTATTTTTTTCCATCCACACACAGTTGAGAGGGGCTCTGTACAAAAGGGTGAAACTACATTTGTGTTTTCACTCAGATCAAGAGTGTGCCTTTGAAGTATATATCCTGATTTTCCCCATTTACTGTATTTTGGTTTGCAACACAGAGCAGTCTTCGACCACACCAATAGGACTCCCTTGGTATAAAGCTGATCCAGAGGCCCACACTCAAAAGTGCTTCAGCTAATGATGGGCCTTCAGTCCACGGGACCAAGCTAGAGCTAATCTGAAATAGAACATCCAACTGCAGATAGCATGGACAGCCCACATGTGCTAGTCAATAAGCTGCTTGCAAAACATTTCAGTTTAGACAGACTGGAGTCTGCAACAACACTGCCAGGAGTCAGATAAATTACTGTAGTTAGGCCAGGTAAATTTGATAGCTTTTCTGCTTTGTCTTCCCTTTAAAAGAATGGTAGTCAAGCACAGAGATAACAGGACTGTACGCTACGTAACTCACATTAGGAACATAGGAATTACAAATCAGTACTTCACACATTACATACTTCAGAAGAACATGTCTAAACCGCCAAATGTGAAAAAGGCATCTTTCTTACACAAGGCAATCAGTAGTTCACTGATCTAAAAAATGTCCTAATGTCTCTGATAAGCATTAATCCAATTGCTAATACTATATTCTTATTAAGTCCCATAAATCTCTAATTTAAGGCTACCTTGAAAAATGGGAAAATTTTTTGGAGTTTACTACTGATTTCTATTTTTTTTAGTTTTTGCTTTTGACAATGATAAACTTAGAAGAAAAATAAGGTATTTCCAGGCTGGCCTAGGATGTTTAGAGCTACAGGATTTTTTGGTGCACCATTTTATCAATTTTAAATTACTATTTATTTTAAATCTCTCTACCTTTTTCATTTAGAAGAAAACCTTTTTTTCCCCAATGAAAATTGATTTTTAAATCAACTGTTCCTTAGTTCCTAATTAGGCTTTATATTTACAAAGATTAAATTTACATCCACATATTATTAGCAATATTAATTCAAATCTTGACCTTAAAATGCATGCTAAAAAGATACTCACCTCCACAATGGGAGCTTTGTAATAATCTGGATAGCTAGTAAATTTCTGCTAGAAAGTGTTGTTCATCTGGTTTGAGACCCACTGGAATAACTTAATATATGTAAATTTGCCAGTCTGAAAGCCTAATCCATTTCTGAGCATGTGCTGTATTCAAAACACAACAGATGAATATACATTTTTGTCCCAAGTACAGGACTCAACACAGAAGTACCTAAAAGAAGCGTAACAAACTAGATCCATTGTGACTTTTCCATCAGAATGATTTTCTGGAAAATCATGGAAATGATTTTGGAAATGGAAAATTTTTCTGCTGAAAAATGCCTCTGTTGCAAAATTAAAAATGTCCAAGACAATTTTTTTTAATTTGCTGTTAGGAATATTAACAAAGCAGCTGCCTCTCTGCCTTCTTGGAGAATCCTTATTGATTTCAGCTCTGCAAGTTTCCCTAGGAATCATGAAGAGGCAAGAGACTCTCCTCGCTACCCCATTACAGAGATAAGCTGCAAAGTGGGTAAACAGGGTATCCAAGATGACCCCATCTTTGTCAGCCTACCAAATGGGCAGCTGACATGTTAAAACATCCTTCTTTCAATTCTTCTGCAATAGAGCTTTGAAGACAACTCATTTTTTCTGCAAAAAATACTGACGTTTTACTTTTCATCTTCTTCCAGAACAGACTATTTTCCAAAACACTGACACTTTTCTCAGAATAGAAGTTCCATTTTCCAGACTACAAGTTCCAAATTCCAGACCATGAGATCTGTCCAAAACAAAAAAAACAAACAAAAAAAACCAAAAAAAACAAAAAAAAACCCACCCAGATTTCTATTTTGAGCCTGTGCCTTTACCACACTTCGCATATTCAGATTTGTGTCAACAATGTTTCCTTAAAGACACATTTTGGTACAACAGGAACAAGACTGCAAAAAAGAATTCATTCCAGTCTGCAGAAACAAGCTTTACTCTATCTTAGTACAAAATTACTACAAGTTTACATAGGGTGATATTCAACAACAATGAAATGTAATAGAGTAGAGTACTCACTGTATCTTATTTGACTTTGGTATTGTTTATTTTATATGTTTTTAACATTGCTGTCTATTTTCAGGGGAAGAGTGTTGGGGTTTATAGACTTCCTCAGGCCCTTTTGGAGCAAAGTGACGAGCAAATATAATAATGTTACTAAATTAAACCCTAGCCTACTACTCTTCTAAACTCTCCTGTGTACCCTCCTCCTAAGTGGAGTGGATTAGTTGTGCTCAACTCTCTCAAACGCAGCACGTTTTTCCAGTTAATTTTCACCAAAAGGACTCCAGTTCATGAGCTCTCAGAACATGCCACAATGCAAAACCAAAGTGCAGTACATGAGGACAACTGGGAGATCTGCCTCAAAAGCGCACTTGTGATGTGCACTAAAATGCTAAGGTAGATGCACCATTATATAGGCAGTGGCAAGAGGAAGCTCTTCCAAAAAAGCCATCTAGAACACTAATGTTAGGCCCTGGTCTGAACTACCATCTTAAAAAAAAACTTCTGCCATTGCAGAGAAGCTAAATTAACTCTTCGCATCAGTGTTTCCAGAGACACACACAACCCAGGAAGTTCCCTGAGTTGAAAATAACCAAAGGGCAGAACAGTTTCACAGTAGTATCATATATGCTCGTCCTGTTCACATTCTTCCCCAGACTTCTTCAAAAAGCCATAGCTGGAGTCAGAATATTGGGCTAGACGAACGTTTGGTCTGACTCAGAACAGCCATTTTTATGATTTTAGAAGATACTGTTAATTCCTTTTTGTTTCTATCCTGGCTTTGTATTTTGGATGCATACAAAAGTGGACAGAACTGCTAATCTCCTTTACTGCCATCTCATTTTAGTTCTGGGAATTATTCCTCTTATTTTACCTAACATCAGCACAAGTTATATAATGCATCCATGGTACAATCCTGTGAGAGAGGGAGTTCTTCATTTCTATGAAACCAGCAGGAGCTGGGAACATTGAATATTTTAAAGGATTCTGAACACATGACAGTGAGTGGGATTTAATCATCCATTAAAAACTGCACAGAAGTGTTTTTCTGAGTCTGGGCTCTAAAAGACTACTGAGCTATGCAAGGGCTTTTACATATCATTTTGTTGTCAACATATGCCTGCTCAGTTTCATCCTGTTTTATTTTGATCCCTTTTTTTTTTTTTTTTTTGTTAAGATTTGTTTCCAAACAACTTTAGAATAATCAGACAGTAAAGCATCAAACGAGCCTTTGTCTGGGAAGCTAATCACTCACAGCCTAATGGTCATGTCAAGAAAGAAATTCCTCTTTAAAGGAGAACGTTTCCTCCCAGATCGAAACCAAAAGCAAAGCCTAGTTTGTATGGTATCACATGCAGTTTCCATAAAAATTATTTGTGTTGTTCTCCTGTTTCAAGATGGGTCTGAAATACACCCTGCGGGCAAATCTCTCTGGGTCTGAAAGATGGGATCTAGGCTGGATACTACGGTTTGACACTATTTTCACACAAAAATGTTTATTCTCTATTCCGATGCTCTAAAGCCCTACTTTTATAACAGAACACTGTCACTGATGGTGTATAAAGCAGCAAATGACAACTGGACACCACCCAAAGACTGATGTAGTGCTATAAACTTCATTAACATATATTTCTGCTTCAGAAGAAACTTGCTCTCGCAAAAGGATCTAGGACATGCAGTTTGAAGGAGGAAAGTCAAACCCCAAACCAGGCTAAAAAAAAAGTGACCACAGAACAGTAGGGGAAAAAAAAAAAAAGGTTTGGACCAATTCATAGCTATTTCCATTGGAGCGCTTTAAAAAATTGGAGTGAATTTTCTACTTAGCACATTGCAAGCAGTTGACATGAAAAGTCCTGTCAGTGTCTATTCTTCATACAACTCTTTATAGTACTGAAAGAATGAACTTCTGATCTTTAGAAAATTTATATGCCTTACCTCTGGTCTGAAAATATATCAAAAGAAAAACAGAAGGAATTCTGGGATACTGTCTGCAAACTACCTTTTCCCTAAAGCCAGTTTCAAATGTCAGGGTTTTTTCAGGCTATTGATTGTGCCACAGCACTTAAACAACAACAAAGCATGATGCTGTTTCTTTACCTTTTCCCAAAGTAATTAAAGCAGCACTTTTGAGAGCAAAAATAGAAGAATTCTCCCTCAGAATACATAAGTTATAAGAATATATAAGAAATGAGAATTCAATCAATAGATAATAATGTCCAGACAACAGATGAAAAACAAAATCTGAAAATAATGATGAGGATTTTAAACATTCACTTCACCACTCTTATGTATATTCTTAGAGTTAATGCTGAACTTCTGCTCCACTGCAGTATGAAATGTATCATCAGCGGCTCCACTTTGGCCTGTTACATCTCAATTATCTTGAAAGATTTTATACAAAATGCAGAAAAACTGCATTAAGAAAAGGCCAACAGCATAACTCATAAATCTCATAAATCCCTCCTTAGTTCAAAGTATTTTGCCTATTGTGAATGTAGCACACTTAGGAAGCTCCACTCTGAAGACTATTTTTTCCTTCATAAAGAGGTGGTCCATGCCTTGAACAAATCCAGATATCACAATTTGGTCTCCAGGTAACGTTTGCTACATGTTAAGATTTCTGCATTGTCCTGGAATGTAAAAAGACATGCATGACTGCCCAATTAAACCTGGAATCCAAAAACTTCCCGAAAACAACCAGGTTAAAAAAATCTTTGCCAACGTGTGCATTCAATGCTGCATTGTTAACACCATTTGGGGAGGCATTTTTGCTCTTTACAAGTTATTTACTATTACTATTATTGATATTAACATGTGCATGTGCACAAGTGTATAATTGACTTAGATTCACTTATGTTGCCATGCAGTAAAGATTGGTTTTTCATGAGCTCATTGAATGACCACATTGAATGGGCCTATCTTTAATTAATCAGTTGTTACCATTCTTTACCTCCTGATGAAAGCTCATAACTGCTGACCGCAAGAAGGTCCTGTAAGAGCACATACTATAGTGACACATGAAAACATACCGTTTTTTTCCACTCTTCGCATGGTCACTTTTCCAGTATGCTTGGATGTGTGTTCGGTCACAAGCATCTCTTCTAAAACGGTAGCAATTGAAGCAATGGGACTTCTAAGAAATTAGCGTTTTGTGTGAGACACGGAAAATTCTTCCTTCTTTTTCACTGCATGCGATATTCATTTATGCAGAGTAATATTGGTGTTAAAACCGTAGCTGTGTGCCAGACGACTAGTCACTGCACATCTGTGAACTAATCTCTGCTGTTTAATCACCAAAGCTTCTGAGGCTGAGTCAACATGCAATGTGCCAAGGGCACCATCATAAAAAGGCTGGCTATACACAGCCCTTTACACCACAGAGTTTCAAAAAAATTTCCAAATGTGAATACTATTAGATACTGCAAACTCTAAGAATTATAAACACCTTCAAAAATATTAAACCCTGTTTCTTCCCCTAAACCTTCCATCTTCCTCCAAGAAGCCATCCCTGCAGTCATTATATCAGAATATTTTATATACCTAGCTGCCTCTGGCCTAGTAACCTCTAAGACACAAGTATTAACTCTTCACTTAAAAATCACTTGTAATACAGTGCTCATCAGGTTGGACTGACATGTTTTTAAATATAAACCTGTCTTACCTGCTCTCTCTTCACCTCCAGCAAACCAGTACTTTCACCATCATAGTGCATGACAGCTGGAAAACACTTCCCTATCATCTGTTTTCAGTCATGTAGCCTCCGGCTTGGTTTTACTGTCCTTAAATCCAGCTTCCAGACAGTCAAATCAATCCCTTTCCTCCTCCCTGCCCACATACGCTGTCTCTTCTTACAGCCCAGTCAGTGTTTGGCATTTGAATTCTCTTCTGTTTTCTTACTCTAAACATCTAGAAAGTAAGGCTTACCTGGCAATGAAAAAGGAGACAGATTGTCATGCTCATTTTCCTCCTCTTGGTTCACCACAGGGATGTTTCCATTTTCAATATTCTCATGCTTCCCATTCTGAAGCGGTTTGCTTGAGCCATTTGCAGATTGGATTAGCCGCTGACGCTGCACAAGGTCACAGACAAAACTTCCATAAGATTGGAAATGTTCTTGACTTTGTTAAATCTGTGTTTCACTGTCTGTCTGGCCCCAGCCATTTCAGCCTTGGTATTTCTCCACAAAACCTTTCTTCTAGAGAGTAACAAACATACCTCTGTGTGGCCTACCTGTCTCTGTGAGGTGAGTATTAACCATTGATCTCAAAATTACGAACTTGGGTATTTTAAGTGATGACCGAGGAAGTTTCTTTTTCACATCATGTTTTAATGAGCATGGCTATTCTGAAGCACTTCTCACTCAACCGTTCCTGCTCAACTTAGGAGCTAGGAGCTGACCAGCAGTAGTACCACAACTGAGCAGTAACACTCAAGCCATCGCTGCAATATTAAAGATGGCCTACAAATAATTCATGACCCCAGATCTCCCCTATTGAGGTCCAACTCTTCTGCCTCCTTCCCATTCCTTGTAGTAAATGTGAAGGTCTTACTGTACATTTCAAAAGCAAGATTAACCCTAGTTGTCCATGTTTGAGCATATAAAATCTCATGAAACATATATTGCCTCTACAGATGAGTTTAAGACTGCTACATTTGCAATATGTAGCACATAATGACAGTGGTCAGTCTAAAATATCAGCGTATATACCAGCCACTACCCTGAAGAATGCAGGATGGAACAATCTTTTCCTACTTTTCTAAAAAAGGAAATATTTATGGTTTGTTAGGTGAGACAATGCACGGCTGGTAAGCGTTCTCTTTTCAATGACAAATTGTTGCAATTCTCTATAAAGTGCTCTGCAATGCCTTGAAAAATAAAGTAACTGCATAACATGCAAAAAAATTCTGAGACTAATATTAAATGATATTTTTATCATTTAATAATGATAATTTAAAACAGAGAATACTCATATCTGAATACTTTGCAAAACTTTGGAAATGTGAATACAGGAGACTAGAGATCCAAATTGCTTTGGTTTAGAAGGGATTTTTTGCAGATGTTGAACTAGCAAATATTAGTTCTCTGGGTGCATATCTATTAACAAATACTTCTTTTTTCTATCAGTGAATTGTCTTCAAAGCAGAAGTTTTACAGAGCCAACTGCTACTTTGCGCCTAATCTGATCTTTTCCTGCTCTTGTTCACACGCCACTGAGCTGATTTCCTAAAAAATATTTCACTGTTAAATTGGACTTGTGTTACAAATGTATTAGATTGCTCTTTCCTTCATAGGGGTATGTACAATGCTGGGCAGATAAAAGAACCGTGTTATGACATCCACATTCTGGGAACTAGCAAAAGCCTCTGTTTCCTAAACCACTGAAATTAATTTATTTGCCAAAGTAAAAACTTTCTTCTCATATTTGATATTGTAAGGAGCAAAGGATAATGTCCTGCGTTCATAGAAACAAAGTTGGCAGACCAAAGATTTCACCTGGAAAACTTTATGCAAACTCAGGACAATGACATTTGGCCAATCCTGTCACTCCAGCTGCAGGATGTGGAAAAAAAGCAATATACGGTGGCGACAATATATTAATTAGTATTTAATTGAAACAGTCCAGAGCAAACTCCCCTCCTTAAAAGACATTGGTCCACTTTCATTTGGAGCTGATGACTACAGTCAAGACTAAAAAGGCAGGCAAATATCTGATATGATCCTGATTGCTGTTCAAGTAGTAGCAGTTCTTACAGTTGACCTGTCCATTATCCTTTCTTAGTCTGACCACTTTTGTAATGGCTCAAAATCAATTCGTCTGCTGCAGATAAAATCCAAATGCGCACACTTACACACATATGGAAACAAACATCCTCTTGTTTAGAGAGAAGGTTGCTGATCTTTAAGGGAGCCTCTCCTTTGTGACTGCCCTCCTATGAAAAGAGGAAGCACCACCTTTTGAGAACCTGTCTTCATATCTGCTATGACATAGCTGCTAGAGAGAGAGACATAGCTACCTCATGGCTAGAAACACGGGAGAATCTGAATTCCAGAGTCACTATGAATGTGGACCTTTGGCAACCCCCCTGCTTAATAGTCACTTATTGTTCTCTTAATGAACTTACCTCATTAATGATGAGACGGCTTGCCATCCGCATTCTGGTGCGTGGTCCAAACTTATTTGTAATCATTATCCGTAACCCAGCTTCAGGAAACCGGAACTTGGGGGGACTGGAGCAGATGATCTCATCCACCATGACCACACTGTTTTTGCCGTACTGCTGCATCCCCTTCACTAATGATCACAATGGCCAGGGTTAGTTGTGAAATTGATCTTACCATGTTTCCCCTCACCCAGAGCCACTCTTTTCATTCTCAGGTGTGTGTGTGGGGCGGGGGGGGATCACATTCATCTGAATGATTGAATATACCAGTGACTTTCTTGTAATATTTCTGCTGCAGTCTTGTGAATTTGTTCATCGGTGCTGCACCACATTTAGGTCATGTGCTGAAAGGGGCTTTCACTCCAATAAGGCAGCCACCATCAGTCCACTCTCCAATAAGAGGGAGTAGTTTTCACCCAGCCACTCATGCTGTAGTGCCAGTTTTCTTTGCTTATGCTCCAATATGTTTTTTTTAATTTTCCTCTAAAAGCACTTGCACTGAGGCAGTATAGACAGCCCTCCTGAGACCTATAAAGCTATCCTATTGGATCAAGGTGCTTAACAGCTGCTGCTGCACATTCAGAAGTCCCTAGTGTTGTGCTCACTCTCTTTGGAAATCCTCACTTTACTTTCACAGAATGTTATCCGTATCCATAACATGACAAGATCTGAAACTATGAAAAACAACAACTGTCCAAAACAAACGTGCACTACAAATAAGCCTTTGTTAATATAAAGGAACTTGTACCAAGGTAAGAGCTTTGCTTTGTTTGTTTTGTCTGCCATGCTAAGAAAACAAACGAACAGAGAGACAAAATTATATTGGGAACCAACATAAATACAAGCAAGGACTTCCAAAGCTTAACAACATTCTGATATTCTCACAAGTGCTACAGACTACATAGAGCAAGCAGAGCAAGGCTCAGCAGACAGGAGACATATCCATGTGGTGTTAGAAAGCAGGGTAGGAGATATGCATATGACTGTCATAAATATTAATTATTACATGTAATTTCATGTAAGGAAACAAAATAACAGAATTCTTTGTTGCTCGTGTTACTGCTTTGCTTAGCTTGGCTTCACCCTCCCACTCCCCTTTTACAGCAGCTTACTTACATTAAGAAGAGGAAGAGAATTTAGGAGGTAGAAGTAAAAGATAATTATTAGTGCATGGTTGCCACCAGGAAGCAAAGGAAATCTAAAGAGACATTCAACTAAAATAAAAGTATTAAAATGGACCTGTCCTAAACACATAGAAATCTATACAGCTATTGTTTACATTATCACAGTGATGAAATATTTTTCATTTTCAGGAAGAAGTCAGGATCCATGCATGTATGTAAATCACATCATCCAAATAGGCTTTGCTGTCTTAAGCATCTCTTAATATAGTTGCTTTGAAGTTGGAGAAAAAGATCCTCACATTATCATTCAGCAAGAAAAGCTCAGTGAGACCGTAAATCATCAGTATACTGCTCTATCTTTTACCCTCCTGCATTCGAGCATCTTGTTTTCAATGAGTACACTGGGGTCACCCAAGGTGTCATAACGAGATCTTTGGTTTCTCCAAGAAACCTGTCCCACTTAAAGAATCAGCTCTATATCCCAAGCTCTAATGGAGAATAGAACTAGTAGTAAATTGTTATTTGGTCAACATAAAGAAGCAATTATCCTCCCACCTCTGACATCTAAAAGAAATTAACCTTGCTGAGTACTGCAGCTGATGATGCAAATGAGGAGCACAGCCATTCTGATGACTCTTGCAGTTAAAGTGAAGCACCTTTTCCTGTGAAGGAAGATAGAGCCAGACAAGCTATGCAGGAAAACCACAAGCCTTACGGAAGGGGGCTCTACTATTAGCAGCCTGATGTTTGTTTTACTTAGACAGAGAAAACGGAATGTTTGACAGCAAGGCTTGTAAGGAAAAAATGCCAGATAGCTTTGGTTTAACAGTCTAATCAGGTTAGTTGCTCTCAGGTGAATTTCTCAATTAAGTCTCCAAAGTGCTTCTTTATCTTACAGCGTGTCAGGAGAAACAACATAGAAGCATTGAAATCACTCTGGAACTACTCCCAGGACCAATAATGGGACAATGACAAAACATACTGAATGGTATTGATGAAATACCATTAAAAAACTTAGCATTGATGTAAAATGCATGACTATATATGTATGACTTACTGCAGCCATTTCGACTTACTGCAGCACATTTCTCTCCTCTTCTCCTAAGAGCTCGTCAGTCTCATATGCCCATAGATATACATAACTTGGCCTCATATGGTACAAATGGGCTCCATGTAAAAATGGCAAAAGTGGCTTTCACAAATGTGGGACAGTGAAAACCCCTTTAAAAACGTGGGACAGTGAAAAGCCCTTTTAGCTGCTCCTTTGTGATATATTCCTAAGGCAAGTATGTTCTGAGCACAACTTTTCCTTCTAACAAACTATAAAAACTTCCTGCTCATCACAAAGGGTCATCATCACCAACAACCCTGCCGAAGTCAGCAGAAAGCTTCTCGCTGACTTTAGCTGAGTCTGGATCAGGCCCCCACATATCTACATCACATTCTGTTCAGAAACCCACTTCTCTCTAGAGTTCGTATTATTAGGCAGGAATTGTAACATGCCACCTGGGAGAAATTTGAGTCAATACAATAAAAGCCAAGGGCAATGAGACACAGTGTTTGTTTTTTTTTTTTAAATAGGAACATTATTCACAGAAGTACAAATCTTTTGCCTTCACCTGTGAGTGTAGATTCACTGAAACTGAATCTATCTCATGGTGAAAAGCTCTCTCTTTTCTCTCTGAAACTCCAGTAATGGAAGCTTTTATGTTTTACCATTCGATGCTCTTGAAAGTAATAAAACTTAAGAAGATTCTTTTAAAGAGAGTTGTGTAGTGCATGAATCCCCTTTTATCTGTACCTTGAGCAACAGAATAACCATCCTCGGTAGGAATAAAGTTCCTCACCCAAAGCAGCTGTTCTTTTTGGGGAAGAAATTAGATTTTGCCTGTGTAGAGAACCAGATTAAGGTCAGATCTGTGCCATGCTGAACCCAAGGGAGGTTTTCCGGCGGATCTTGAAACTTGCTAACCAGTAGTTGGAGGTAAGGCAGAGGCAAGCTGTAGTTATTGTCTCACTGCTACTAGCAGTGCTCCTGTTGCTGAAAGCTGCTTCTGAGGAAGGTGGAGCTCAGCTTGTGAAGTCAGCCAAGCATCCACTAACTGAGAGGCACTGCTAATTCATGGCATATTTTGACCCAACAGGAGATGCAGCAGGCAGCCACGTGACGGTTTTCCAGTACAGCTTCAGGACACATAATGCACCCATCTCTGGAGCAGCTAGGCTGACACTGCCACCCTCCTTTTCCACTACTAACCTCAATCCCATCACCTCCTTATCCTCCTCCCATGGAAGTCTTCACATCACCTCTCATGCCAGGTACGTTCCTTTTGCTTTCCCTTTACTGTGATAATACCTATACTCTTTCACTTTGAATAATGGTCCCTCCACTGTAGCATGTATTTGTGCAATGGGTGCTGGTGAAGGTAAAGAGAATCTGACTGAAACTGCAGTCTCACAGGATCTCTGAGGGAAATTAGAGAAGTCGTCCACTGTGGATAGTGCCTAGTGGAGACACCATTCTCATGATCCCAGGCTTTTGTTTGCTTTTTTGCAGTTTTTCCTGAAATTTCTGCATGCTCTGCACAAGTATTAAATAATCTTCACAATGTTTCCTGAGAAGGTTTCCTCCATCACACAGTGGCTAGAAAGGATGAATGATGCATCTGAACATGAATCTTAAGAGGACTCTTAAGATGAATCTTAAAAAGATGACTCTTAAGAGTATATGACCTAGGAGTACATGCACGGAGATGACGTTAGAACCCAACAAAGGACTCACAAGTAAAAACGGCTTATATCTGTTTTCTATCATCCATTTCCTGTGTTCCCATTGGAATATACTAGTAACAACTTCCTTAAGAAGTATCTTCTAAACCTCCTGTGAATGCAACCCCATGTCCAACTGATGGGCTTTACTACATGATAGCCAACGCTCATGAAAATTCATTGTAAAGAGAGGTTAAAATATTTCAAACGCATCTTAATTATGCTATGATAGTCTACGAGAAGTACTTTTAAATCAATATTAAACTATTGTCTAAACACTACACCTGAGACTGGAGTACCACTGTGCTGTGACTGTATAAAGCTGTAGTAAGCTTTGAAGGTAGCAATGATTTGGCTGTACAAAGAGAGGGAATGGAAGAGAAGGGGGACAATACAGAGATAAAGGAAAGTTACCAAAAAAAAAAAAATGTTTGAACGTTTGCCCATGTAGTACCTGAAGCTGGGTGCTATCTTCTTCCTATTTATGACAAAGACTCAGACTGCAAAGAACCCACATTTCCTCGTTTCATGCATGTGCCTAGCAATGTCTGCTCAGATATTTAGACATGTGAAGGTAAATCTTCCCAGGATCTGAACCTAGCATGTGATTCACCCTTGCTCACTGATTTGCCTATGTTTTTCCTTCAACACTCACATCTCAAGTTTCTATATCAGCAATCATCAAATTTTTGAAGTGAAAATTACCTTCTTCCTGGCAAAAGAAAAATATTTCTTTCACAGTGTTGTAGCTCATCACTGAACAGGAAAGAAGAAGGAAGTAAAATTGCCAATGTGCAAAGCAGCTTGTTTCCATAATCTCCAGAAAAGACTATTTTGACAGGGGTTTTTTTGTTCAGTGGTTTGACTGCTGAATTGTCAGGTTAGTCCAATAAAAATTCCTGCTCAAGACTGAATAGTGACAATATTTTGACCAGCATTAAGTAAAAAAAAAAGATATTCTGTGAATTACTCTTTTTCAAAGTCCTGTCTGCTCAGCCTTACCTTTCCATAGTAATGGAATGGATGGGTCATCACAACTAGAGGCATAACATTTATTACCATCTTCCAGCTCACTGTTGACTGTGTCACCATGTCCAACATTCTTGTTTTTGATAGTGAAGAAATTTTGCATCCTCACATTGTACCTGAAAGTACAAAGGGAAAGTCTGAAAAGGCTGGAATATTGCCTTTCCTTTTCAGATTCTCAACCTCTGAGAACAATTTATGCAGAATAGCACAGCCTAGATGCATGTTCTCCGACAACTAATAGAACGCTAAGATAAAGAAGAAATTCAATGGCAAGCTGACAGGAAAGCAAGGGCTCTACCTGCCTCGTACGAGATAAAGACAACTACAAAAAGACACTATTTTAATATATTCCCTGGAGAACATTGAGTTCTGGAGGAAATACTGCATGTGAAGTCTTGCAGGCTTCCCCACTGTGCTAAAGAACGTGACTACAAAGCACACAACACATACAGTCCCTAAGATAAGCTTTTGCTATCCTTGTAGTGCAGAGGCACTTCTCCATATTCCGGAAAGCTTCACTATGTCTGTGGGGTTCTCTTAAAACCAAAGCTTTACCTTTGTTCTGTTTCATGGAAGAATATGCAGTTCAGAAACTTACTGCAAATCTATATAAACAACTGTATTTAAACAAATATCATAACAAGATAGACGGAACTTGGCTCTAGACCACAATTACCACCTTTCATGGTAACAAATGTTTGCACTAATCTTATCCTGCTTTAACATAACCTTTATACAGGGACCATTTTTGGACATGTACATCAGTCCTCTGCCACTTACAGAAACTTAAGTCCTCACCCTCAGAGAAACATACTTTCATCTCTGCTTCACGAATAACAATCTGATTTAAATTTCACCTTCTGAATGGTCATTAAAAATGCATTTCACACTTATGTGGTGTTTTATCACTCTGTTGATAGACCTAGGGAATAACAGTTCCTGCTGCAGCAAAAAATACAATGCAACACAGAGTTTATTTCCTATAGATGCAGAGGAAAATAATGCCATAATTAAACTCTACCTTGCTATTGAGCCGATTCAGTGAAAGCAGAACACTCTGGAGTCGTGGCTTTTGGACTCAGGACATTTACTATACAAGGGCCACCTGCCTACTGCACCAGCTCTCAGTTCACTTCACTGCTACTCCCTGTGTTCCCTGCACTGGATGCTTGAACATTTCTGGGACTACGGCCAAGCTCTTCTAGAGGAAGGATGCACTATTTTAGCCACAGGGCGGGACCTAGCAGAGCTGTCAATGAGCTCTGCTAAGCCTGATGTAGGAGAGAAAGGAGGCTGAGGTCCCCAAAATAGTGATTTGTCGGGGAAGGGCATCAAGGGAGAAGGCTCAGCAGCTTACAATAGAAGGCTCTTGCAGTAACAGAGACTCTTGCAGTAACAGATCTGTGACTCTCCTGTCAGAGGTAGTAGAGAAGGATGTCACTACACTACAGGAGAAGGATGTCAGTACCCAAGTACATCTGGTATGAGAATGCCTGAAGATCAATACACGCTTAGCTCTCTTTCTGATGTTCCTTGACCTTGTTCTCCAGAGGTTACAGCAACCAGGTATAAAACCAGGTTTTTGCAAAAGTGGTGTAGATGCCACAGTGAGAACCTGTCACAGCACAGCAGCCAAACTGTAGAGTCAGTCACTGCACCTCTAACAAGAAGCTGTAAAAATATTCATGCTTCAGTACTTTGCTCCCTACTAGGATACAATGTAGCCATGCAACTATGGTATCAAGTTATGGGCAAAGGAGGAAGTTACCATGGGCTAAGCTTGAGCATAAACTTGGGAAATATATAGCAGCTTGCCTCTCAGGGAAAGAATAAAATACATTGTATGTACCATACTTTCCATGAGCACGTGCATAAGCAGTTGATGGCCAATAGCTGACATGCTGTGAGCTTACACCGCAGAGTACCCAGTGGACTTTCATATATCTTTGTACAACAGCATTTCCTCTTAACTATCTCTGAAACTTACTTTACCTCATTGCACTATGAAAAGAAGGTACCCAAACACTTGCTGTTGACTGAGCACATATCTGGAGCAAAGTTGATTAAGCATGAAAATTCAAGGGATCCTGCACAGCAACAAGATTGGCTGCATTGTCCTTAGCAGGAAGTCCAAGGACAAAACTACACCAAGAGAATAGGGGTCAATTAACAGCTAAAGGGCATGGAGAGGAGAAAAGCACTTACTTCATAGTAAGTATGTAGAATGAATACATAACGATGAGTACAAGGCTTTCCCACCTCAAAAAGACAAAAGAAAAATGTTAAATGGTCATTCCAGCAGCTATTACCTTTCAAAGTTTTCTGAGAAACTAAACATCTAGTACAAGTAACATTTGTGTGCACAGGATTGCACACAAATGCAGAATGGGCACAGCACAGACTTTCATGTTCCAATAAACTTGCAAATCACATGTAATGTATGTATCCCAGAAACATGCTACACAGACTGAAACCAGAGCTGGCCACTGAGGATCATAATGCTGGGGCATTCTGTGAGCTCATTGCTGAGGCACAGGCCAGGCACTTTGAAGGGGCTCTTTTAGAAGATGCATATGACTTTTCACTAGAATCCCAGCTTGCACCGTTCTCTGGGAAAACGAGCACCCCCATACATGTTAACAATTAGAAGGAGAACAGTGGAACTTCGGTTACCTTCTCTGCACATGTGTGAGGCCCTCAGGCCCTACCTACAGCCTATGTACTTAGCTAATGTTTCCAGGTTATTAATTTTTCTTTTAGTTTTCCCTGATCATCGTAAAATATATAACCAAAGCAAAGAAACAAGATTTCCTCGATGGCAACTCCAGCTCTTACTCACAGGGTACAAGAACAAAATCTAGTTACACTGCAACTCTATTTAGTGATCTCTCCAGGTGAATATAGGACTGTAGGGAACAAATTACATTACTTACCATACTATTTTCTCATCATATATGAACTAGAAGAAAAAAAAAAGGAAACCATAAACCGACAGTTTCTCTGATCTAACTTGAAAAACAGTCAAATTTATTGAATGAGCATCAGTGATATCTAACCAGAATCTACTGCAGAATCTAGGAGGGTCCCCTTTGACCCTCTCTAACCCAGAACTTTCACTGTACGGATTGTGCCTCTCATAGCCCTGAAGCACATATATTGTGGACGAGGCCTGGATCCTTCTCAGTTATTTTTGCTAATATTGTTCACTAAAACAGTGTGTGTGTGTGTGTGTGTGTGTGTGTGTGTGTGTGTGTGTGTGTGTGAAAGGCAGATAGATGCACACACACACACATGCTGTGCATCTGTATATAATAGTGAAATCCCACGTATTTTGAAGAGACCTGAGACATAAAGCACTGAATCCTTTCATAGCTAATCTAGTTTTAGCAGAATAGGCAGCTATTTCAGCTCTGTTTTTAGGCCAGCAGGTTACACATATTTTACTCCACTGTATGTAACACCTGTAATTGAATGGTCTGCCAGCCTGTCATATTTGTTACAATCCAAACTAAGTATATTCTCCCCCTCCCTGTCACCATATGCAGTAAATGCATATGTTCAGGAGCTACTACACTGCTCTAGATGAACAGAATAATACCTCGCCTGTGATCTGTTTAGTAAAATTTACCTACATGGGCAGGTTAGCAAGAATCTGTGAGATAAAACTAATGTGCGGGAGCAAGAAACAGATACTTTTCCTATTTAAAAGAGAGGTGCAGCTCAAAACCTTTTATCTCTGTCACAAGCAGTCCCTTAGGTCAGAAGAGAGTGCTAGCTGTACTGTGTAACAATAGCTTGTTACTCTGCAGAATGTTACAGGCTGCAAAACGAATTTGATGGACATAGTCTGTGCAGCTGCACAACGCTTTTATTGCTGGATCAGTTTGTGGAGTCATCCTGCTGAGCACTTATTTCTGGATGTCACTAGAACTAGTTATGAAAATAATTGTTTAGTGCTGTATATCGATGGTTAGCAGACTGGCCCTCTGAAATTAAGCAATGAAACACATTAACTGGTAAGGGGACTACTTACAACTATAAGTACGATCACAGATAACGTATAGTACATAGAGTCCCTGAACACAGCCCACCAGGTGAGATGAACCACCTGAAAAAAAACACAATTTTAGCCAGCAACAACAAAGAAATATCTTAAAGACAAAACAAAGGCCTCTATCTTGCAATCACTTATGTGTATGAGCAGAATCATTATCAGCAGCAGTTCTGGAACAAATAGCTGTCCTGTGCAAACAGGAAGACACGTCTATCAGACAATGAATCTGTAATAACCACCATTAATAAAAATACTACAGAAACTTTCGTCGATGAAAGATATTTCTTACTTATGCTATTTTAATTGGCCATAATTTCAATTGTAAAGTACAATTCATTGCAGTGCAGCAAATCAAGTGCAAGCAAAAGCAAAGCAAGTGCAATTCCCACTTTATTCTAATTGCGGACATATCAGACTTAGTACAAAAAAAAAATGATACACAGTCTAACCATCTACTGAGAAGATGAAGCAAATCTCATGCTTGGGTCTTAGATGCTTTGATCACCATCAGTGCCAGAAAGGAGTAGGAGATGCAGCTGATCGATTGGCTATGGACATAGTATTGCATGAAGCGGAATCATTTCCCTCTGGATGCTGCAAGTTCAGAGCGCTGAAACTACAGCTAAAATTTTTGGGAACATTTGCTACCTGTAAAGCTTTGGTAAATTCTTTTCTACATTGGCATTATCTCCATGTCAGGTCTTTTTTTGTTTGTTTTTGACTAATGCTCCATTTAAAAAAAATACCTGCTCATGTAAAACCCATAAAATAAACAACTGAACTCCACAAAGATAAGTATCTTACTAACCTGTCCTGCAAATATTCCACAGACACCAATGATGCAGAGGATGTTGAAAACTGCTGAACCAACAATAGTCCCTACTCCTACATCTCCATGAGTGATAAAGACACCTGCAGAGGGAGCAAAATATGCATTATTACCTCTGTCATTTCATTTTAGGCTACATGCTATTACTCACATCATGTACTACTTGACAATAACAAAGATCATTTGAAAGTTTAATCAAAACATTTTTCATAATAAATGCTCACTTCTCCATGGAATATTTTGTGCTTTCAGGCTAGCTAGCGGCTCCACATATTTGGCTTAACATCTCTACATACGTATTTTTATTAAAAGCAGAAAAACTTTATAACTAGTTAGTGCAACAGTACGTCCTGTATCTCACAGCTTGGCTGCTACTGGTGCAGTAATCCATTACAGGGAACATAAAACAAGTTCAGTTCCATCAGGAACATGGAATATAATTCACTTCAAACACTATAATAAAGCACTATAATAAAGCACTATAATAAAGCACACAATCCTTTCTCCCAGGCATTTAATATTTTGTGTGCTCTTCCTTAGAATGTCTCACAGGAGTAAGAGATTCTTCCCTCAAAGAACCAGTAGCTACCTTGGGTGTAGTAATATGTGCCTTCTGACGCCAGTAAAGACTCAGGGTCTAGATTTAGCCTGTTCTAGCACCAACTTTGCCCTTTTCCTTAGTACTGAACCCACTTATGCTTCATATAGTTTATATATACATATGTATATATTTATATATATACACGTATACACACACATATATACTTATGCCTCATATACTTATACTACAATATAAGCATATCAGAAAAACAGATATCAAAAGCTGGAGGGGATCTCCAAGGATTATCTAATGTAACCTTCAGCACTGAGGCAGGACTAGATATACCTAGACCACACCACAGAGCTGTCTCTCCTTGTACTCTAAGTCTTCCAGTAAAGGAAGCTTTAAAGATTTACACTCACTTTCTTCAAGCTTTCCTTATAGATAATAGTTTCTGAGCCTCTTACCCTTTTTCTCTTCTCTGTACTTGTTTTAATTTGTCTGCAATTCTCTTGAAGAAGAGTAACAAAATTGGATATAATATCCCAAATAGGGCCTAACAGAACTGAGTGAAGGAGGATAATTTAGAAATCCCATGCTTTACTCAAAATACTTCAGTCAATATATGCCAGAATGTGGGCCGAGTTATTTGTAACATCCCAGCATCGACTTCTGTTTGACTCCCGCTTCTTTTACAATACGTTATGGCCCTTTTTGATCTATAGCTCTCTAACCATTCTTCCCCCTGGGTATCTATCTACTTTGTTTTACTTACTCTTTGCATTTGCTCTGATTAAATTGCATCTTTTTATCTTAAATTGATCAAGATCCATCCTATTTTCGCCTCCTGAAATGCTTATAATCCTTCATGCACTTCTGTTATCTAAAATTACATGTCTACTCTCCATTCTCATTCAAGTTATTCAGGAAAATAGGACTGACCTTGGGTGATCTGACTTGAGATACTTTCCCAGCTTTAAACTTAAGCTTTAATTACTAATCCTTGAATACTGCTCTTTGAAGTTGGACATGATGTTATTGTGTGTTCCTTTAGACAATATCTCCCTAAAGTTTGTAAGACTGTCAAGTCAGGATAGTATCAGAAAGCCTACTTAAGCTTTACTAAAGACAGATGTTTCAGATCTGCTGTTTTCCCCTTCCCTATCAGTGTAATTTGCGCAGAATCCTTCCAGGGATATCCTGTGTCCTCCTTCATATTGGTACTACTTTTGCCATTTAGACCTCCCTTCTGTGCCAATAATCTTTAGTAGTTCACAGATTACTTCAAGTAATTCTTTAAGTAATCTACAGAGAACTTCTTCATGTCCTGACTTTAGCAGATCTAACATCTATACATTGCTTAATTTGCTCTTTATTCATGTTCGCTGTTCTCCTACTTCCTTGCTAAAATTAATTCCCCTTATTCATGAAAAAGAAGCCAGAGGCACCAGATACTTCAAACTCTCTCAGAGGACTGCAATAAATCTCAGCTTTCACTTTCTATGTTCAGAATCAGCTGTTCTTCGCTGTGTTTTGAGAGGAGACTCACTGTCTCATGAGATATTTTGAGTAGCTAATTATACCATGAGCAACAGACTAGTTGACAGCTATAACTGCTGATTATTAATTGTCAAAAGAATGGTAGTACTTTTGGATACCTCTGCTTGATCTGCTGCTGATTTTTTAACAGCAGGTCTCAAAAAAGCCAGTGTGTGGGCTCCATACCTATAACAGATGCAAACAATTCTGGAGTGGAGCTTCCTGCAGCCATGAACGTGGCTCCAGCAACATCTTCACTCAGATGTAGTTTCTGGAAAAAAAGTATTGATTATTTCAGCACTACTACTCTAATTTACGTTGCACAGTTCTATAGCTGCAAAGATACTTCGGACAAATAAAATGTCTATACCCTAACTCAGTGAGATGTCAGATAATATTATCTACTTATATATAACTGATTGGCTGATTGTAGCTTAGATACAGCTGATTAGAGAAAAACGTATCTGCAGACCCTGAAAGCTTGCACACTCATGTTGAATCATTTTCATGACTTCACTTTTAGAACTCTAAATGCAGTCATTCAAGACTTACTGACAATTCTTAAGGCTTCTAAAATTTGACAGTAGAAATCAATAGGAGAAAAATATAACCTCTGTGGATGTATCTTACAAACCGCAAGCCTGATTCTGACCTCACTTGCAACTGGGTAAATCAAAAGCAAGTCCACTGACACACACAAAATTAGACCAATTAGATATAGAGAGGCCTGTGTACTGTAGCCGGATCTATTTTTATTACAGTGTCTCTTAAGCTCTAATAGGATACAGGTTCCTGAGAGTTCTCAGACTAGCATAAGCAAGTGTAGCTCCACAAGTGGGCTGCATCAATTTAATTCTGCCTGAGGATCTCTCCCTTGAACTATAAAGAAGCTTTTATGGAGGAGCTTCTTTCTTTTTGAGAGTCTCGAGACTCGTCGTTAGTATCTCATCTCTCTTTCAAGGACAGAAAAGCGATTGATGACAAAAGGAGCAGTGCAGAAATAGAGTATTTCTCAGGCAGTATGCAACATTTTGAGCTGATGAAAACAGGCATCCTAGAGAACTTGACAAAACAGAAACACAAGCCCTTACTCTACCATGTGATCTATTACCAGTTACGCTGCTGAAGAAGCTCAAACGTTAAGTGTGGTAACTACTTGAATTCTTCTTAGCTATCTTAATGTTCAGCAGAACATGAGACAAGAGGCAAAGATTTTATGACGGCTCAACAGCAGTACTCTGGTACAACTTAAATAAGGTGTATAAGGTGCATGCATAGGACAGAACATCTGAAAAGGGAAAGTAAAGAACCCTATAGAATATTTTGCAGATACTGACTGCCTCCCTTATTCTTCCATTTGTCTTCCTGTTGATAAGTAGGTAGCTCTGAATAACATTAATAGGAATTCTCCACATATGTTCATAAAAAAATAAAGACTTTTTTACTAGCTACAAGAGTCTTTCAGAAACTGTTGATATGATAACCGCTTTGTTAAAAAGTAAAGGAAATGTGATTTCCACCTTGTCATAAAAACAGAATCCAAATCTAATTTTGTATTTCGTATCCGTTTTGTAGTATTTAACCAAAGTACTCTCCAACATAACATTTATATGCCAAGTATAAATTCTACCCTTTTCTGATCAACTAAAGTAAGTAGAATCCTGTATGTAATTTTGCAAGCCTTCTCAGCAATTATGTAAAGGAATTACATTCATTTTGAATAATAAAAGCATATAGTTTTACAGACTGTCATGAAACGTCACATAGCTGGTTTAAGGGAGCTTTGCACATAAAATATCATGTCACTTTAGTTGTAATGCTAACAATTTCCTTTCCAAGTACTGATCTTTTATTGCCTTTGGGTGGGATTTCAAAGGTACTTTGCAGTGCCTGTCTTTGCTATATTGCAGTCAGTTTTAAAACTCTCACTGACATCAGCTGCGATCGAGAGAAGCTGATACTGAGCACATCAGGCAGGGAAATAGGTCTGTCATCTCACTAAATTTCTGGATATTTAAATACGTGTTCTCATTCTGAATCAAACTAAGATACACACTTTTCCAACCCATCTCCTTTACCCTAGGACTGCACAAGCGGTCCAATTCTTCTTACTAGTTGAGGTAGACGTGCAACAAAACTTGAAAAGCCAATACATTTTTTGCTATACATGGCTTTTTCCCCCAAGTATCTTTTTAAAATAGAAGCACAATAATAAAGCCAATTTATCTATATGTAATATCCATTCCACCTATGTGCTTCACGTACTTAAGGGTGGATTTGGCAAATGTTCTCATTAAATCTTCCTTTCTTTCACCTTAGTGTCATCAAGAGGACCAGTGTGCTCACACTACAGGTGAGTTTTTTGATGAAGCCCCATCAGTCTGAAAACGATTGAGATCACCAAATTCACAGGGAAGAATTCCAAACAATGATGGCATAAAATGTTCAGTGCTATAATGTATTGTAACCGGTTTTTCAAAGATGAATGAAGTTCTTCAACGTACCTCACAAATTTTCTCTAAGGATGGAACAAAGAAGTCATCACATACTATAGCCAAAGCATAGAACATATAAAGAGCCTGTAAAGAAAATAAAATCAGGAAATACTTCAGATATTTCCTCTACATAAAAAGAGGAAAGAAAGCAACGCTATATTTTTTCTAATGGTATAACGAACAGACTAGCAGGAATATATGGCTTCATTTTTCATCCATTCTAAAAAAAAAAAATAAAATAAAACCCTCTGCTGACCGGTTCAGCGCATGAAAACAGATCCTCATATGTAAGATTAAGTTTAGGACAAGCATGTTTGCCAAACTCTGAAATACGAAAGGAACCACAGTTTGACAGAACAGGGTCCATAATAGAATTCAAATGTAATAAAGTAATAGGCAGGGTTTTGCACATTGACATAGTCATCATTTATATTTTTAATTAATTATCAGACCAGAGATTAAGGAGAAAGTAACACCATGTTGATTAAGAATACACCAGATATAATCACACCTGGAAACTGGTGGTCACTGACCTTGGCTCACTGCAGCAAACCTCTCAGGGATGATGGTGGTTTCATGCATACATGTGATCATCCCACTGTTCTATGTGGCTTTATGTTCTGTGCTCGCGTAGTTGGCCTTATTAATCCTGCTGTTCTCAATCAAGCGAAACTCCTTTCTACTTTACTTTCCCAGAGCTGGGAATGGAAAACTGGAGTCTGCAGGCCTAAATTGCTTTGCTTTTTCTACAATAAAATGTAAAACTCCACATGACATTTTCTATATTTCTTTGGGGCATTTTTTTGTATTACAATTGCCTCTTTTGCATAGAGGTGCAATCGAAATGAAAGAGCATCAAGAGAATGTTCCTCATCATGCACGTTGTCAACCCAGTATATACAAGGTGAAATGCAAATAAATACAATTCAGTAGCAGAAATGATGAACGCATAAGCATTGCAAATTCAGACCCAAAAGATCATTTTCTTAAATAAATGTTGCCTTTTGAGCATCTGCACCCATATAGACATATTAGAAATATGAAATCAAAATATTAGAAATATGTTTATACACACAGAGTTGTATTTAGTAAAGGCACTAAGATGAGTAACATCTTAAAAGAGTAATACACAGAAAATAAAAATGAAGCACAGTAGAGGAAAACTTACAGCAAGGATATGAAGCAGAACCCCTCCTTGCTGCCGTTCTTTATTTGTAAATATATCTTGAGGAAATTCATTAATTGCTGAAAGAGAAAAATACGTATATTTTTAATTTCTATCGAATCTACAAATGGCAGACAGAAAAACAAGGGTTTCTCTGTAGAAGCACATGACCAAACAAGAATGTATCTTTCAGCTTGGTACATCATAGCCTGCCACATCATGACACAAACATGAACAAACGGAGAACTGATCCTTAGGTGTTATTAATTATCATCCTTTCAATGGCTTAAACTAACACCCAGTGATTACTATGAGCTGCACAATCTTGGTGCCTTATTGTTACTATTTGCTCCTCTAAATACACTTTGAAGTGATCAGCATGGGGATAAAATCCATCCTGAAATAATATTGCTGGCTGTAAGCACGCCTTGCCCCTGAAAAATTATGCAACAGTTGTAACCTTCCATTAGGTTCTTAACTGACCATTTTTATATGGCTCCACAGTGTTGCAAATCATTTCAAAAAGATTAAAGCAACTCCAAGCATTTTCTCAGAGAGAAAAGTTTTGCAGAGTTCAGTTAAATGACCTGTGTTCCACTCACCGCCTGAGAAAAGGATTCCAGATGGTGCAGACAAAGATAGCAACTAAATCAGTCAAAGGGCTGAAGAAAGGTAAGAGATAAAGAACACACAAGATGACAAGACAGGCAGGGATAGAGATATACAGTGCCTCAGACATGAGTCTGGAAAGTGGAAGGGTAACAATTATTTCAGCCACTGAAATCCAAATGGGTTGAAGCTGTGAAATTATTGCTTAGAACTACATGCTGGTTTCAGCAAGGGGTCGCATACACCAATTGACGGCAGGATAAACTGCAAAAAGTTTTTTGAATTGATCATAATATACTGAAACTTGGAGGACAACACAGAGGACTATAAGATCATCTTCCCCTTGCCAGTTAATGAAATGCCAAAAACAGCCTTGAAAATAGGACAATATATGATAGTTATGCTGATTCATTTTCTATTTCAATTGTCTTATTTTCTCAACCCCTAGTATAATTCTGCAAACAATAAAGATGAACACAGAAACCAGGAGTTCAACATATACCTGATGAATTTAGTTATTCAACTTGAAACACTTTAATATAGCCTAATTTTCACAAAGTGTTGCACTATGACCCTTTGAAGATTAAATTTTTTAGATTGTCTTAAATCTGAGTTACCTGCAATCACCAAACACACTTGAAAACTTTGGCTGCAGTGAGAACATACTTCAGTCTCAAAGACCTGAATTATCTGCCATCTCTTCAGTCCTTGAGAGTCACATAAATGCAAAAATACCTCATCCCTTCTTGTTTCTACTACACACAGCTCCGTATGTTGCATGTCTAGCTTGACACAGACTTGAACAGAGTCTCCATGCAAAGATGAAGATATTGCAGCTGTTTTTTCATAGTAACCTCTACCACAAATGATTATTTTTGAATGCAAACACTGGCAGCAGGCTGTGTTTAAAGTCTTATACATATAAACCTTACCTGCCTTCCAAAAGACAAATTTGCATGTCTTGTGAAACCTCCCTAAATCTTCCAAGCTAATATTTGAAAACTACTATAGTTAATGGTCTATAAAACATTTAGCATAAAATAAAAGTTTGACAACAAGGACTTACTGCAATGCGTTTACTGTTTTTCATTAGGCTCTTGAATAAGCCCTGTTCTTACCATTAAATTCCGACTGGAATCGACATCAACCCTTAAAATGTTGAATAGAGCTTTCCCACGATAAAGATGCAGCTTTTCTTCTAAGTCTCATCCTTAGACAAGGAAAACTACATACAAAATTTTGCTTAGATATTTCTGAATGTGATTTCCTACTCCTAGTCCTAGAAAACCATTCTATTCCTGGTCCTCCTTCTGTTATCACTTGGAAAAATGAAAGCTATAGTAGACATGGACACAAATTCATCAGCACAATATCACAATAACACCCAAACTCTCATTGAATTACAGAACATCATTCACGGGTTTGGAGAGTACTTCAGAGCCTAAAGATCATCAGCACACCAGAGTTTAGCAGGATTAGTTTCCAGAAGGTGCATCTGGGTTGCTACAGAATTCCACAGTCATCAAGGCCATGCAAAGCAGGGATGAGAGAACTCGCTGACTGGATCTACACTCTAAACAGATTTGTGGCCTTAAAAAACAGCCTGAGGAAACAGCATTGCTATATGAATGCAAACCACACCATAAATAAAACATACTTTGTGAATTTAACAATGTTAAATTCCTGAATGTTAATGTTAAACCTTCCTGAAGCGGTGAGGGAAAAAAATACAATTAAATGCTAGCACTGAAGAAACCTCCTGTCTTCATTCAGATATGTTTGGTTACTGATCCAAACAAATTCAAGTACTTCTAAAAGCAAAATATGAGAATAAACCACTTTCCTCTCTGTATGGTTTTGCATCCCTGTTTCCCTCAAACAAGGAAAAGGATAGCGGAAATAAGCATCCCTGTGAGGAATCTGCTCACATTGTAGTTTTAAGACAGTATTAAATCAGAGTGAAAGGGACATTCTTATCCCTTTACTGAATTATACTGCAGGATAATCCACAAACTATTAGTTAAGATGCAGCAATCTGGAACGTTTTTATCAGGCAGATAAACTTTTCAAGATGTCATTCTCCCATGTGGCAATCAGGGAGAAATATCCTTCTGGAATAATACTGCAGTACTATCAAACATACAAACTTCTAGTCAACTAAACTATCTGCCAAAAGCAAAATCTCCTAGAGGAGTTATTCCCTAACAGAAAGTAAAGTATGGAAAAAATTAATTAGCACCCAAAGCATGTGATTTCAAATAAATAACTGCCCATTAAGAATTACTATTAACTAAAATGAATGAATTAATATTAACTAAGATTATTTGTAACTAAAAAAAGCATTAAGGCTTCTTATTCGGGGAAGAGACTTGGAGCTACAGCTGCTGGGCAACCTACACAATACGGTTGTTCCTGCATCACTGGCTAAAATACCATGGATGTACATGGGAAATGTATTTGGGGCACTATTTTTCTTATCGCATTCCTCATTTGTCCTCTGTCTTCTCCATTCAAACCACGGCTGTGAGAATACATGGATTTCAGCAATGCACCAAGGAGAACAGGGACCAGAGCCCAGGCCTCAATCTCTAGCAATGGTAATGTGACCCTACACAAGGGGCACATACTTCCACGTAATCTGACACAGATGTTTCACAGAATCGTTTAGGTTGGATGGGACCTCTGGAGATCATCTAGTCCAACCTCCCTGATCAAGCAGGGTCCTCTAGAGCAGATTGCCCAGGATCACATCCAGACGGCTTTTGAATATCTCCAGCGAAGGAGACTCCCCCACCTCTCTGGGCAACCTCTTCCAGTGCTCAGTCACCCCCACAGGAAAGAAGTTTCTCCTCAAGTTCAGACAGAACTTCCTGTGGTTCAGTTTCTGCCCATTGCCTCTTGTCCTGTTGCTGGGCACCACGGAGCAGAGGCTGGCCTCATCCTCTTGACACTTCCCCTTCAGATACTTGTACGCGTTGATGAGATCCCCTCTCAATCTTCTCTTCTCCAGGCTGAACAGGCCCAGCTCTCGCAGTCTTTCTTCATAGGAGAGGTGCTCCAGCCCTCTAATCATCTTGGTAGCCCTCTGCTGGACTCTCTCCAGCAGTGCCATGTCTCTCTTGTACTGGGGAGCCCAGTACTCCAGGGGAGGCCTCACCAGGGCTGAATAGAGGGGCAGGATCCCCTCCCTCCACCCGCTGGCAACACTCTGCCTAATGCACCCCAGGAGATCATTGGCCTTCTTGGCCACAAGGCCACACTGCTGGCTCATGTTTAACTTGTTGTCCACCAGCACTCCCAGGTCCTTCTCGGCAGAGCTACTTTCCAGCAGGTCAACCCCCAGCCTGTACTGGTGCATGGGATTATTCCTGCCTAGGTGCAGGACCTTGCACTTGCCTTTGTTGAACTTCAGGAGGTTCCTCTCCGCCCAACTCTCCAGCCTGCCCAGGTCCCTCTGAATGGCAGCACAGTCTTCTGGTGTGTTAGCCTCTCCTCCCAGTTTAGTATCATCAGCAAACTTGCTGAGGGTGCACTCTGTCCCTTCCTCCAGGTCATTGATGAATATATTGAACAAGACTGGAGCCAGGACTGACCCCTGGGGGACACCACTAGCCACAGGCCTCCAACTTGACTCTGCGCCATTCACCACAACCCTCTGAGCTCGGCCATCCAGCCAGTTCTCAAGCCACCTCACCGTCCACTCATCTAGCCCACACTTCCTGAGCTTACCTAGGAGGATGTGATGGGAGACAGTGTCAAAAGGCTTGCTGAAGTCCAGAAAGACAACATCCACTGCTCTGCCCTCATCTACCCAGCCAGTCATTCTGTCATAGAAGGCTATCAGATTGGTCAAGCATGATTTCAAGCATGTTTGCACCCCCCACCACAGGTGCTCATGCCAGAAGAACTATCCCCCTCATTGCCGTCACATAGCAGAAGGAATACGCTCCTGTCCCGTGACTTGACAAAAGGGATATGTCATCAGGAGAGCTGTTACCTAGCTGGTAGTCTCATTCAGTTGGCTGTAGACTACTTCACAGTATAACACTGAAAAAGTTTAACTCAGTATAAGTTAAAGCTGCAAGAAATATGAATAAAAATCATAAACATTATCTTTCTAATAGGGCTTTACTTATTCCAAGTTAATATTACATAGAAAATCAGAAGACCAGAAGGTGTCAGAAGTCAGCAATAGAAGTGAGAAGTGAGCTAGGGCTTTCAATCATCAAAGAAAAACAAACCAGCTTCATTGCAAATCAACTTGCCTCATACATGGCAAGGTAACATATTTATAATAAATAATTACTCATAACAAATATTTACTTGCCTCATAGAGATAATTTTATGTGCATTAACATTAAAACAGCTTTTCTCAAAGACGATGCTCCTCTCTGCACAGAACTTACATCGTGCAGTGGTTTGCATCTACAGATACGACAACAATTTTATTAGAAGTCAGGGAAATGAAGCA